CCAGGATCCTGGGATCATGACCTGAGCCTAAGGCAGTCGCTTAATCAACTGAGCCACCCAGATGCCCCATCCACATTAAATCTTTATTCATAGAACACTTACTTAAACAGAAATGGGATTATGATGTACATACTGTTGAAACTTGCTTTTTCAATAAATTATTTTTGAGAATTTGGCTTTGTCCTTTGACATAATTGGCTATATCTTCAGGCAGCATAAAACTGGAATTAGGAATAAATAGCCTAGTGATTAAAATTTCCTGAAGAATTGAAAATTTAAAGAATCCTCAGCTCTACTTCTCCTGTTAATAGAAAATAGAACTTCTATTTATAGTAAGCTATTTTGTTATCTAGCATTCTGTCAATGGGACAGAATAGCATTCTTTAACTTGAATGTCTGTGTATCTATTTTACAGAGAAAAACCTATTTATAGTGATGAAGAAGATATTTGTTCAGGATCCTGATGTATCTTCTGAATGTGGTTTAAAAAAAACTGTTTAGTGTTAATGTTAATTTATTTATTTCTTTAAAAATTCCATGTGATAACATGGAATATTTTAGTCAGTGGACTGTCCATATTTTTACCATATTGAATATCTGAATTTTATGCATTTCTTTACAAAGAAAATTTTGAGTTGAAAATGATCCTTGATTATAAACTTTTGGGGCTTTATCTTTGTAGTTTCAGAGTAGCAAGTGAGAGCACTTAGTAAATATTTTTTGAATGAATACATATGAAATCTGAATTTATATAGTGATGGATGCAGTTTATTCTTACCGTTTGAAGAATGATAAATAGGGGTAAAATCAATTACCATATAGAGTACTATATAGTTCTTAATGCTATTTGATCTGAAGGAGATGTTTCTATTTTTAATTTCTTAACATTTCTCTTTTGACATCTGTTCTTTCTTTGCTAATTTAGGCAAGTTGCTTTGGCAGATATCATCATCATTAATAAAACTGACTTGATTTCAGAAGAGGATTTAAGCAAGTTAAGAACAACCATTAGGTATGAAGTTTTAAGTGTTAACTGCCTACAAATCCAAAGTGTACTATATAAAAGGTTTTTTCTGTATTACCCTGTAGAAATTTAAGGTTCAAGGTTGACCTGCTTCAATACCATTCTGGAATCATTTATTGTTGATGCCTAATTGACGCTTATGTAAAAATAAATATATAAAATCATTCCCCATTTCTTACAGAATGTAGTTAGAATTCATAGACTGATACTCAGGGTCTTCTGACTCCATCCTCCTTTTCCTGTCTCTCTTTGACTCTTTGCCTACAGGAAGTTCTCTAACTTTACTCAGGATGACTTACTTTCCCATGGATGTGTCTTGCCATAATATCCTTTCTTTACTCTGACGTGTTCTCACTCTCACTCTGCCAATCCTTGAATTCCTTCATTGTCTCTGTTTTAATTTGCTTCCTTTTTTTTTTTTTAAGCCATTTTATCCGTTCTGTAGAGTCGTCCCGTCACCTCCTTTTCTCCCTCGCTCCTCTGTGAAATCTCCCCTGTCTCAGGTGGTCTCCTTTCCCTGAACCCTCACTGACTTTGTCTTCCTTGACTGTCAACTAAACGTGCCTGTCTCCCAGCTTGCTTTAATGTCTTCAGTGTCCATGGCCAAGGTTGGTCAACATATGTATGTTAGTATGAATGGTACTCAAATATATGCTACATGATCCACAGTCACTTGGACTTTTCAAATGAGATTAGAGTTCAGGGACTTTGAATTATTTTTTAAGACAATTAATAAATGCCATCTACAAAGAGACATCCAATAGCTTTTATTATTAGTCATCTTTAATGGGTGTAATCTGCTGACATCAGATTTTGATTCTGTCAGTACCAGTTCATATAGTATGTTATAAATTGAATCAATAAAGGTAAGGCTCATGAGAAGATTGGCTGCAGTGATGAATGATTGAAGAGGAAAGAAATTCATATTTTTCTGCACATGTAGTGCAGGTAGTGCTGCATAGTGCTGAAGATGATGGACTTTAGAATCTGGTTGTTAATCTGGTTGGGTTCTACTCCTTGGTCTGTTTCCTGCTGTGTTCTTTTTAATTCTCATCTCTAAAAGAGGAAATAATACCTACTTCATTAAGTTTGGTTTAAGTGTTCATGAGACAGTGTTGGATATTAACAGTAAAATAATGTGCAGAAAATGTGCAGAAAACAGATGTGCTCTGTTAGCTACTGTTACCATTATTAGAGTGTAATTTTTTTTCCTGGTTTACATAGTAATTTCAAGCTACAACGAATAAAAATAGGAAAGAAATAGAAAAATGGTTGATATTTTTGAAAAGTCTAGAAAGATGAAAGCAGTGAATGGAACTTACTTCTTTTACCCCTTTTGACTCTGGTCTCCTAAATTTTGTTGGCCAGCTTGCTCTGTACAGCAATACCAGGAAAGAATTTGGACACAGTGCGTTGATAAATTACAGACCCTTTGGATTTTGACCCTCCATTGTACATCAGACTTGCAACTGACTGGGCATTAGATTTGGGGAGTTGGAAGAAGGTGAACATATCTGAGAGGAAGTGGCCATCAGGTTATATAGTATATTCAAGTAGAAAAGATTAAGAACTTTGTGAAATGGTAGAGAGACTTGCCTTAGAATCATTGTGGATGGGAAACCTTACCCACGAGAATAAGCTTGAACAAAAGGCACATATATTCAGCAAGTAACGCTGAAGGCAATGGAATTGATGGTATAAAGATAAATAGATGAGGTGTATAGTATGTTGAAAAGAATTTAACAAGTATTTTTAGTGCCATAAAGAGGGAGTCCTGTTTCATTATCTTAGTAATATCAGAAAGGGAAGGACTGGCAGAGTAGGTAGAGATTCTAGTTAGGGAATGAAGAGGTTATTTTGTGGAACAACCTGGATATCCAGCCTGACTTAACTGTTACTGTGAAACTGAGGACAGGCTGGGTGAGAGCCACTCACAACTAGGTTTTTATTTCTAGCCTGTGTATAGGCATTTCCACGATGTGTGCTTGTGGAAAATTGAGTATCAGTAAAAATCTTGATTTATCTACTCATTTGAGAACATTAGAATTACTGGCTATGAATCATTTTTTCTAACGTGAAGGGTCTCTTTATAATGCACAGAGTGTCCCCTAGTTAGTCAGTTGTGCAGTAGATTTTTGCCTGTCATGTTTTAATACCTAAGTGGAATATACCTGATTTATGATTAGAAAAAAAATAATAAGCTATAAAAAATGTAAGTTTTGTTTTTCTGTTTTTTTCTCCAGATATACTTGTATATGCTTCTTTCCTGTTTTAGAAATAATATGCTTTACGATCTTTAAAAAGTTTAACATTTACTTTTTTACTCTTTCTTCTTCATTTTTATGTTTATTTCAGATCCATAAATGGACTGGGAAAAATTTTAGAAACACAAAGATCAAGGTACTTTTAAAAGCCGTTACTAATATTGACAGTAAATAATTTTAGTTAATAATAATTATTAACTAATTGGTAAATATGCTTGATTCTTTTATAACAAAGATACATGTGCCTTTTTAAAAAACGGGGCCCCAAAATATTTTGAATGTTCTTTATAAATTAGTTGGCATATTTGGTTAATATGCTTCTTGTTGTAGCAAGACTACAGTAGAGCCATGGTAAGACTGGGTAGCTGTGCTTTTGTTTCATGAGGAAGAAAACACAGGACTTTTCATCCACTCAGAAAAGTAACTAGTATGGAAATCTCTAAGAGTATATTATTAGGAATCATCTTAGCTTGAGGTACTTAAATGGCATTCTAATATTTTCTAAAAACTTCTAAGTTTTTTGTATAGCTGCAAAAATAATCTGTCATGTAAAAAGAGAGGAACCTTTATCTTTAAGTTTATCTTTATGTCCATTTCCTGTAGGTTCTTCTGTCTTTTTATTCTGTTCATACAGATGTGCAGTACTTTATAAAATAGACGTATTCTTGAAACATCTGTGAATTGTATTTCTTTGGATTGAATTCTGTTTTCCAATGAATGCTATTATGATTTCAGAAAATTTCTTACAGGGATATGTTGTTAAGCTCATTTTTTTAGCAAGAGTGGTTCAGCAGCTGAGAGACTCAGCAACATGCAGCCAGCAGCTGTGGGGTTCAGGGCTGGCAGTCCAGTGCCAACGCAGTCCTTAATTCAGAGGTTCTTTCCTTGGAAGTGCAGCAGCGGGCTTTGCTCGGAGGCTCGTCTGTGCGGCGGAGGTTAGAGGTGCTGACAGACTGCCCTGGGCAGTAGGCAGTAGCGGGGGCAGCTGCTTGTGTGCGTGCGGACAGCTGGGGAATTAACTTGGTGTGCATTCTCAGAAGCCACTCATCTGCGGGCGGAGGTGGCAGAGGGATGCCCTTAGCATAAGTCTTCCACAAGCAAACGCCCGAATGTGCTCCCTGCATTTCAGATTCCAGTGTAGAAAACCTCTGATCGCCTAACTCATACCAGAGCCATTCCTCAGTTATTGGTCTTCTTTCTCTTGCATTTTACCATTTTCTTTCTCCCTAAATTTTCTCTTCATTACAAAGTGACACACAGACGACAACAGAAAGCTGAAATAAGTTTTTAGAAACTGTATCCATCAATAGCTGTGGTTCCGTTGTAATAGCATTTATTTGGTTCATATTTACAAACATCTCAGATCAGTTTTTAAGGCCCCTGGATTTACCTTGCTTAATTTTTATTTCTGTTTTCATTTTAGACCTTTATGTCCTGCGTAAAGGTTTTATCTTGAAGAGGTTATTGTGTAACAATTTTGATGGTTATATGACATTTCTAACAGTTCTGTTATGTTTATAGAACAGTAAACATATAGTGATTAAATTTAGTTGCTTCAAATGGATAAATGAGCAAATGAATAAAATCTCCTTTTTTTTTTTTAAATTATTTTTCCTGTTTCTTCAGTGTCTTGTGTTTGCCATTGTATCTCAGAATCTAGGGACTTTCTGAAATAGTACTTCCTTGCTGTGAGGACTGAAGTTGGATTAGGATCTTTTTCAGTGAAGGTCAGACCTCCATGGTAGAATTCTTACCATGGTCATGAATCTTACATTAAATATTTCCCCCAATTCCTTGAGGCACAGCAACTTGAGCTTCCCGGTTTAGAAACGAGAGATCTGGTTTTTAACAAAATGGTTGAAATCACTGATGGAAGTTTTGTTTTATTGTGTTTGTTTTTTTGTTTTTAAATTTTAATGCCTCGAGCATTTTGTGGTTGACAAACGCTGATGGTAGTAAAACTGACAATAATAAGACTGCTGTAAGCATATGTAGAAAAGGCTTACCTTGAGTATTGAAGTTGAGGAATAAGAATCAGGTGTAGCATTGTCTTATTGGTAAAACTTGAGTTGACTTTGAAGCAAATGGAAGTTCTAATGGGCCACGTAGACTTCAGAAGTAGGGGTGGAAGATCAGAAGAAGAACCATTCTTATTTCTTCCTGACTCCTTTTTTTTTTTTTTAAGATTTTATTTATTTATTCATGTGAGA